AGTGATAGATGGAATGTGATGAGGCTCATTCTGGACATGGTTTCTAGCTCATCACACGGCGATTCTTTTTCCGTTGCTCAAAACACCCTTCCACAGAAAAACCTTCCACTTAGCGCATTGTGACCAAAGAATTCCAAGCACCAATTTCTTAGAAACTTCTCATAAGTTGCTCTCCTCTCTCCTCTTTCTTAAATGAGAGAATCATCAAATTGGCAAAGAACCCATCCTACCTAAAAGCTGATTCATCCTTAACAACACCAGTAAAGGAGTATGTGTGACCTGTTTTGGGGTTGTTGAAACTAACACCCTGCATAAGCTACCCAGTTTCAAAGACAGTCAGCAAGCAAATAGTGAGGACCATCTATGCGTACAGTGTGCTGAACTAGTAAAGAAAAATGAATAAAGCATAGAAGCTCCTTGAGATTGGGTACTTTGTCTTATTTGTAGCTTATTCCTAGTGCCTAAATTAGTCCCTAGTATAGAGTAGGTGCTCAGCAAACATTTATTGACTCACATCTGAGGGAGGACCCAAAAAACCCCAAAATTTATTTATTAAAAAATTGTATATTTATTCATACATGTTTAAACTTCAGTCACCTTTAAAGTACTTTCCATTTGATGCAATACACCTATCAAGTCAGTTTTTCCACTGCTCAAAACAGTGTTTGAACTCATCAATTTTGATGTCTTTAGTGCTTCTACCAAATTTTTTTTTTTTTATATTATCTCTTCCATATTGGCAAAACATTTCCCCTTGAGGACTGGTTTCAGCCAGTGAAACACACACAAACAAAAAAAGTTCTCAGGGCAACATCAGGTGAATAGGGGCACAGGGGTCATGACATTTTTGGTAAAAAACTACTGAACACTCAGTGAGGTGTGGGCAGGTACCCTCGTAAATCACCCATCAGGAAATGGGCAAACGTGTTGAAAGAATTTCCAAAAATACACTGATTCCAATGGGTACGCTCACAGCCACCACAGCCTTAACCTGCTGGGCTCAGGTCATCCTTCTGCCTCAGCTTTCCTAGTAGCTGGAACTACAGGTGCACGCCACCATGCCCAGCTAATTTTTTTATTTACTGTAGAGATGAGGTCTTGTCATCTGAGGCTGGTCTCAAACCCCTGGGCTCAGGCAATCCTCTCTCCTTCACCTCCCAAAGTGCTGGGATTACAGGCATGAGCTACTGCTCCCAGTACCAATGAGTTCTTAGAATACTTATCTAGTGGAAGAAGCCTATACTACAAGAATTTCAGGTTTTTTGGGGTCCCCCCTTGTATATTGTAAACTTAATGTCCACATAACCACATAGGTGGCCCTTATTGACAAGGAAACTGAGGCTTCACGTGAAGTGACTTGCCCGAGGCCACAGAGCAGCAAGGTCAAAGCCAGACCTCTATTAAGCCCTGAACCACGCTCCTCCCTTCTCTGAAGTGTGGCTCCACACGGCAGCCCCCTGCATGGACAGCAGCTCTTTTACTGACAGCTGATACCCACCCTGAGCTTCGAGAAAGATGAGACAGGACCCTGGAGTTCTTACTCCCACTCTGTGAGGAGGTTGGAGGCCACATCAGAAGGGATCTACAGCATTAGAAATGGGAGTCAGTGGCCTTGCTTAGGCCCTTCCTGGGAGAGCTGATGCAAAGGTTGCTGGGTGTTCTAGCTTAAAGTGTCTGGAACCCACTGCTAGAGAAAAAAATCCCAGCTGTGAGTGGAATGGTTTTCCATATTACTTTCAAAACAAATGCATCCGAATTGTATTATGGGTCAAGATACTTTTCAAAGTAGTTCTGCTGTCCTTGCTTCTTAAATAACGTTGTTGTCCATTTTTATTAAGTAGAAGACAGTCCTTTCTTCTTTCTTTGCTTGGCAAAAACACAGCCTAAAAGTGATGGCTCTAAAGCTGAAGATGAGCCGGGCTCGGTGGCTCAGCCTGTAATCCCGCGTCTTTGGGAGGCTGAGGTGAGTGGATTGCCTGAGCCCGCGGGTTCGAGACCCGCCTGGGCAGCGAGACCTCATCTCTACAATAAATCAAAAAATCAGCTGGGCGTGGTAGCACGCGCCTCTAATTCCGGCTACTTGGAAGGCTGAGGCGGAAGGATCGCCAGAGCCCAGCAGGTCAAGGCTGCGGTGGCCGGGAGCGGCCACTGCACTCCAGTCTGGGCGACAGAGTGAGACTGCAACTCAAAAAAAAAAAAAAAAAAAAAGCTGAAGATGTACAAGGGGGATACCAAAAAAAACCAGAATTAAATTTTGGAGGACAGGTCCCTTGTCGTACACTCAGAATTTGTTCCTCCAGATTAAACGGTCAACCAAAGTTTTTATCTGGAAACTTTGAGAAGGTTGTGTCAGGATTTGTGAAAGAAATGTCCAGAGTTGTGACAAGCAGGTGACTGGTTCTTTCACCGTGACAAACACACCTGCCCACCCTCTGCTGAGTGTTCAGCAGTTTTTGAACAAAACTGGCATGACTCCCGGGAGACTTTTTTGTTTCCCTGGATGAAAGGAGCCCTCAAAGGGAAATGCTTTTCCAATGTGGAAGAGATGAAACAAAAAACGGCAGAAGCACTAAAGGGCATCAAAACTGACAAGTTCAAAAACTGTTTTGAGCAGTGGAAAAAGCATCTCAATAGGAGTATTGTGTTAAATGGAGAAGACTTTGGTGACTGAAATTTAAACATGTAAGAATAAATGCACAATATTTTATAAATAAGTTCCAATTTTTTTGAGGTTCCTCCATCATTTGTCTCATATACTCCCTAATCCAGACAGCACTATCATTATAATGACCACCGCAACAGCATGGCTGTTCTTACCCAGGAATCAACCAACCTTTTAGTCTGCTGTGTCCTCTGCTCTTTCCCAAATGTTGTGAGAGGATCGAAGAAAAACAGAGACGCTCCCTGCCTTTGAGAAGCATCGAGTCAGGGTGGTAGAGCAATTCTGGAGTGCAGGAACCTGGGAGAGTCCCCAAATGCTCTACTTGTGGTGCTAAGCTTGGAAAACAGAGCGATTGCTATAGATACCAGTAACCAGGGATGTTTTCTAGACTAACCTCACCTAGCTCCAGTCATCTATTGGCCTCCCTCTTTTGCCTAAATCTGTCATTGTTACACTTCCATGCATCAATTCATGCTCAGGAGTAACTGAAATTACATGTGAGATGCAGTACAGAGCACAGACCCTGAAACCTCATGGTCAGATGTGAATCCCAGCCCTGTCAGTTGGCTGTGCAGCTCCAAACCTCTCTGTGCCTCGGTGTCCTTAGCCATAAAATGAGGACAGTAATAATAATAATAATAACAATAACAACTCCCTCATAGCACTGATGTGAGGATTAAATGAGTCAATTTGTAAAAAGCTCTTAGAAGGCACCTGGTACCTAGTACTCTGCTCAGTGAGTAGTAACTGTTTTATTTTTAAAATGTGTGTGCATCTCTGACATTTGTACTTAATGTCCTTGTGTCTGGCTCACCTCCCTATTACAGTATAACCTCCAAAAGGGGGACCTCGTATCTCTTTACTGCTTTTCAATGCTTTTCAAGGTCTGCGGCAGACTGGACTCTCGGAAGTGCAGTTGGAGTCCCATGACCTTGACACCCTGGATATTCCAGGACTGTGCAGACTTCAGAGTCATCTGTACCTTCTGAGCTCCAGTGTTCATACTTATCAGATCATATATCCCAATGTGGGGTGCAGGAAAAGGTGGTCCCTGCCAGACTCTAGCTGTATTGCATCCTCTTGGAAGAATGCTGTCGTGGTGCCCGGAAGCCCTCCTCCTGAGGCTGGACAACTCCCATGGTGTTTGGTGGCCAGCTGTGTTCTGTATGCCTTCAGGACTAGATGCCTTCACCTATCCCCACCCCAACCCCACCCACAGAATCCTTTCCTTGGCTCTAATAAACATCCAGTTGTCCATTTTCCGCTGTTCTAACAGAATACTACAGAGAGGGTAATTTGTAAAGAGCAGATATTTATTACTCACAGTTCTGTAGACTGGTAAGTCCATGATCAAGGCACTGGTAGGGTTGGTGTCTGATGAGGGTCTGGTCTCTTCTTCCAAGCTGGTACCTAGAACACTGTGTCTTCCCCTTGAAGAAGGTGGAAGGGCAAAAGGGGCCAAACTCCCCACCTCATAACACTGTTGCATTGGAGATTAGACTTCCAACACATGAATTTCGGGGGACACATCCAGACCATAGCACTGGTATGGCTAAGTTAACTAACTCACCATCTACTGCCCAGCAATCCAAATTCAGGGGTCTGAGACTTGCAAGTTCAGATAAGAAAACTGTGTCCCAAGCTTCCAATATAACATCTATTGAAGGTATGACAGACAGAACAACAGTAGAAATCCTCTAAAGTCCAGAAGAGAAAAATGAAATATCAAAGTTAACTGAAAAAAAAAGAAATCAACATGGAGGTCAAGAGAAAAAAATCTAGAGTTGCTATGGTTGCTGTGACATATTGCCTCAGCCTATTCTTTGTTTTTGGAGCTGTTTGCTCTTAGGACACTGGTTGAGTCCAACCACAGTCCGGTCCGAGGCACTAAAAACCATCACCCCCTGAGATCTGTTTCATGGTTTGGGTGCAGTAGGACTGGTGGTTTGTTTTATAAGGGCAGCTTCACGGTGCCCTTGATGGGCAAAGTGCCCAGGTCTACGGCAGACTGGACTCTCGGAAGTGCTGAGAGTGCTTCATCTCAAGCAGATGACGCCCCCAAACAGCAGTTTAGAAACTGTCCCTTTAACATGAACATGGCCCAGTCATGTGTGAATCATAGCCCATTGCATGTTGATGATTTGGCTTTCGTTGGATAACCCGACCACAATCTCTTCTTTTTTGTTTTTCCCTCAGTGAGTCACTTGAATGGTAGGAAACAAATTCTCTTTTTTAGTGTTGGGTAAACATGTGTAATTAGCCTTGTACTTATCTCCATTAGTATCATTAGACTTGAAAACCCAGTTTAATCTGGATTCTGCTCTCTTCTTAATGTCAGCCTGTTTCTGGACCAGTACAGAGCCAGCCTTGTTGATGCAATAAAGAGATTACTACAGCCCAGGGTAAGTATGTTTCTATTTTCTCCTGAACACTGGCTACAGAATAATTAGTCTGTGCACAAAGATGGAGAGAGTAATGGAATGGAGGATTAATGTCATGTAATACTTTAATACTTATTATGTCCAACTTCAATTGGGTCTTCTGATCTATCAGATTCTTTCCTAATCATAACTAGGAAACTTCTTACCCTTGGCCTTCTGATAAGGAGCACAGTGGGTAGTAAAATAAATGCAACTGCTTCAAAGATAGTGTGAGATTATTTTTATCAAAGAATTTCTTGAGTCTTTTCCTTTGATAGCAATATCTTCATATTAAAGCAGAAGTATGATATTGAAAGTTTTCTGTTGACTTCTGTCATTTTTAATCCCTTCAATGGTAACCTTTGTCATTGGGTATTTTCTCATTGCAAAAGAATACTTTTTTCTTTTTATTTCTGTTTGTTTTTTTAAAGACTTCAGATGGATCTGTATATTAAAACTTCTTTGCTTTAAAAGGAAGCCATTATTTACATATTATAAACATTAGGTCACAATGAAGCCAAGCATGGCATAAAATATTGTGCACATTTTTACATTTATATATCCATTTATGCCTGTGAGTAAATTACAGAGTTTGTATCCACTCTTATTTTGTTGGGCTGTTCTACTAAGCTAGGAGGTCCTGCAGCCTAAACGGAGAGTTAATATACATCTATTTAAAGTAAGAAAACGAGTTTAAAGCTCATGCATTTAAAAAAAATCTTATAAGTATATAAGACTCTTGCTGTGCCATAGGAATTTAAAATAGGTTAACAGTATTAATATAATCTAGGATAGGAACTCACACTTATCTGAAAAGACTGCCAAGTGTGTGTGTGTGAGAGAGAGAGAGAGAGTGTGTGTGTGTGTATGTGTGTGTTCTAAAGTTTTGTTTCTAAAGTCTTCTTTTTAAAAAGGTTTGCTCTAGTCTTCTGACCTCTGTGAGACTTAGGTACCATACCGTTCAATCTTTCTTTTATATCTTTTTCTGAAGGGTCCCAAAGCAATTTGATAATCATCCTTTGCCTCATGCAGTTGCTATCTCTATATAGCTCAGAAATTTAAATAGGTCTCTTGGAGAAGTGAGCACAGCTTTGTAAGAAGTAACCAGTGCAATTAAATTGGCCTTATTGGTTCTCTGTGAGTGGGTATAGTAGGTCTTGAGGAAGGGGCACATTCCAAGCTACTGAAGTCATTGATGGTTGAGAAGGCAGCCCAAGTTGAGGGCAAAAGAAGGAGTTTGGGGCCTGTGAATCCCCAGTTAGCTTTGAGTGAGTCTTGTGAGCACTGTAAGACCAGGATTTTCAGGGAGGCACAGGGATTCTTGGATGTGAAGGCCTCTATGGAAATGTATCATGCATGAATACAAAGCTTTCAAGGACTCCTGGATATCACACTGCACAAACAGTCCTCTACTCATCACCAACACCCCTTCAAAGCCTATTTGTGGCAAATACTCCATTTTCTAGCAGATTTGCATGATTTCCCTAGGATCTATTGTAAATCATTCGCATGATTTACAATAGAAAACTGCCCAAGCTATGAATAGACCTAAATGCAGATTGGACTGGAGTCCCTAGCAACTCTTCTGTACCCCCTAAGAAACACCGAACACTCTCCCCCCTTCCTCCCTCCCTCATCTGAAGTGTGGCTCCACACAGCAGCCCCCTCCGAGTGAAGACAGCAGCCCTCCTGCTGACAGCGGAATAACCCCTCCTCAGCCTAGAGAAGTATGAAGCAGGGCCCTAGAGTGGATGGTAATTACTCCTGCTCTGTGAGGAGGGGGAGGCCAAGTCGGAGGGACTCATGCCAACCTGCAACCTTAGAAATGGGAGTGAGGGGGTCTCACGTAGGCCCCTCTTGGAATGACTCATATCCAAGGTTGCCAGGTATTCTATCCTGAAGTGTAAGGGGCTCACCATCAAAGGGAAAATCCCAATCATGGACGGCAGGTGGACACACTGAAATTACCACCAGGAAGCTCATTCCCCTCAGGAGAGGAGGGTACTTGCACCCCTGGGCCTCCACCCAGATGGTCACGTGGGCTTGGCAGTGACCGGCAGCAGTTCGACACCCTGTGCTGTTGGGCTCAAAGGCTTCCCAAAGCTTAGGTGTAGCCAAAAGAAAAGACAGATGCTTCTTGTTAACTCTCAAGGCTGACTGTTTTGCTTCCAGAAGACTACCCCTGCTGAGTGTACAGTCTAAGATTAAGATAGCAGTCAAGGTTTCATTCTATTACAATTAGAGCTAGTTTCAATGTTCTCTTGAGCCCAGGCAACTCTCCCCCATGGCTTTGTGGCCCAGAGGCAGAAAGTGCCACAAGGGGCCCACAAAGAAACAACATGGGGGACCACATGGGTGAGTCCTGAGTTCGTAGTGATTCAGTGTGAGACACAGCACGCGCTCAGCAAAACCCACGCTTCTGCCAAATGCTTCAAGTTCATGGACTGGCCCCTGCTTCTGAAGGTAAAGTGGAATGGGTGGAGAGAGTCAGAAAAATCTGCTTATGAAACCCAAGTCTACACTAACTACTAGCCTCTCTGAGTCTGTGTCTGCTCAACTGTAAAAAGCCAGGCTTCATGCCCACCACGTGGGCTGGTATAACATGCATACATATGTAGGTGCTTGTGCCTGCCCACAGGAGGTGCTCCTTAAGGAGAGCCTATCAAGGTTAATCTACACGAGACACTTGTCCCAAGGGACGCTGGCCTGGCTGACAGGACGTCTGAGTTCCAGGTCCCATGTGGCACTAACAGGCTCTGGAACAGCTTCTTGCCTCACTGTCCCCAAGGAGGGAAAGTGAGGGAGTTCACCTATGCTCGCATAGAGTTCTGTCAGCTCTAAAACCCTATAACCTCCTTGCAGAGAGGAGGTATACTTGGGCCCCGGAGGCAGAAAGCTTAGGCTCAGATCTGGCTCTGTCATTGACTGGATTCATGTCTGGAAGCCTCAGTTTCCCATCTGTAAAATAAGAAGTGAACAAGGCATTGCAGTGTAATGCACATGCTTGGCTCTGAATATCTAGTCAAGGTTAACACTTGTTACCTTGTGAAAGAACTACAGAGATTTTCTGCCTGTGGTGAAGCCATGCTATGCGGGGCTCTTTCCAGGCATTTCCCATGAAGGAGCTGATGGGAGAGTAGGCATCATTGTCTTGACCTGGACTCAGAATTTCTGCACATCATTGGCATGCTGTGTCTCCCGTGCACATGTGTTCCGAACACCTGTAGTCAGTCCTGCGCTGGTCCCAGCAGGATTATCTATCTGGATGAAGATGGCACCTTTTACTGCAGACAGCCCCCACCAAGTCGGGGGAAAGAGTACTATACTGGCGAGAGCGAAGTCATTGCAGTGTGACTGTTCCAGTGTCAAGCTGTGGGAAGAAAGAAATTCTGCCATTTGGGGGAGTACGGTTGCTTGATTTTGAGCTTGAGCAAATCAGTTGTCTGAGGTCAGAAGGTCTAGAAGCAAAGAAAGCGGATGGAGAGGGGGAGTGTCCCTGCCTTTTGATTTCTATAATGGAGTCATGAATCAAAGGAACAGGCCCCCAGAGAGAGGTAAGCCACCAGGGTGGCTCCTTGCTTGGCCCAGGGGCAATGTCAAGTCCCAGGTCTGAGCCTAGGCCCTCAGCCAAGCAGGCACCTATTTTTGGAATTATAGGAAGCCTCACATTTCAGCAGGGGATGTTTGTAATCACTTGAATTGAAAACTTTCCTCAACTTGCTGGTTTAAAGAAACCCATTAAGACAGTTCACTCCTTCCAGAATACTTCAAGGGACTCTAATAAACTTAAAGAATGAAAGGGATAGAATACATATGAAAAAGAAATGGAATCAGCAAATTGTACTCACTCCAAGATGCAATCCCTCCTCCCCCCCCCACACACACTTTTCCTTGTGCTGAGTGGCTTCTTGTTGCTGATGATTGATAGGGTGACTCCCTATCACTGTGTTCCTTAAAGTTCATGACAACAGCCATGTCCAATATCACACGACCCAAATGTAATTTAAAATACAGCCACAGCAGTCTACACATTGAACTTTCATCCAGAAATGACAACCAACAAATGGTATCTACTATTATTCCTCGAAATAGCTTTGGGTACAGCGAGCCAAGCCAGCTAGACAGTGTGAGTTTACTCAGGACCATGAGGAGGTGGCCAGGGATGCAATGTTAACAGCTCTCCAGCTTGTTATCGCTGCTGACCAATTGTTGCGCATTCAAAAATATCACTGTGGAATTCATTTAGCCTTCTTCAGAAACTGGCCCTACCTGACCACCAAATTCCTGGAGTCCTGCCTGCACCCGAGGAGTGCGTGTGAACCTTGAACTCTTGTTTTAGAAGAGCAGTAATGTCTTCCTCATCTTTGAAAAATAAATCCAGCATCTCTGCCCACACCTGTGTGCAAACCTCTGTGTTTGCTTCTTCAGGGAGACTACCTGTGAATGTGTGAGCAGCGTGGTAGACTGAGTTGGTGCCGAAGGATACTTGGGTCCTTGTCTGCTTGCTGAGTCAAAAGCAAAACCTCACCTGGGTGTGGTAGAAACAGCTGTAGGAGTGCCCTTGAAACGCTATAGTTTCAAGACCCTCAGAGCAGGGGCCCAGCCCTCAGAGCCCTTTTCCAAAGTCTACCCAGGCACATACAGTATCATGTGCTCAGCAGAGAATATCCAGAGATGAGGCAGAGACTCTTTCCAAGGAAGTTATAATCTGGTTGTGGGGATTTAACACACGATCTAGCAGGTAATGCAAAATCCAGTCTGGTGCTATTTTATTTGCAAATCTTTCTAATTTACACCTTCAATAAAATGTGAGATACTCAAGGGTCTGAACTCTGTCTTGGTTTGACTAACATATGTTGGGCAACTACTACCTGCCTGGCATTATGCTTAGGAACATGGGATAAGAGTATCAATAGGAATTAGGGTCACTGTGGGAGTTTCTATAGTTGAGCAGGACAGACGAACACATGAGCTTCCAGGAA